AAAATTATGAGGATTTTACTTTTTTTTAATTTTAGAATATTTTAATTAATTCATGATATTTAGTTTATTTTTATTTTTTTATTTTTTAAAAAGGGGCTTGCGGGCCCGGCCTGAGCCCTTTACATAAGGCCGGGCTTGAGAAATGGGGTTCAAAATCGGAAACCAGACTTTAAGGCTCAGGTCCTTAAGGGTCGGGCCTGCCCGTATTCCCAACTCTAACTAAATCGTGAAAAGCTCTTCTTTAATTTTGGATCTAAAAATATTGTCAATGATCTTATTTTCAAGCACACACATATTTTTAATATTGATGTGCTCACAGTGAAATCACATTTAATTTCCAAACGCACACATATTTTTTTTAAAATGTGTTGTTATTTGAGACTAAAATATTGGGAGTTTAACTACATAATTGATTTTATTTTTGTTTTGTTATAGAATATTTGTATGATTATCATCAATAATAAATTAAATGTGATTTACAATATCTATGTCTACTAATATCTATTATTAATTCTGTAATCTTAATTGGATTAACTTCTATCTTGATGATCATCTTATTTATAATTTATAAATTTTAAGATATGAAAACAAAATGCTCTATATTTGACCACAATTTATTTTTAATCTTCCCGTGCAATGTAGAAGGTAGTAAAAAATCTAGTTTTCAAATAAAATTACCTCTAATAAGAAAATACTTATAAGTAATAAAAAGAAAAAGAAAGAGGGAAGGATGGCTCTTTACTTTACAACACAATAATGGAAATAATCAATGTGCTTCCCATTTTCCTTAATACTATGGTATAAATAGATCTTGCACTAAAGTTCCAAACAAAAAGATTTTGCACTAGTTTGATTAGTTTTAATTTATGTAATTACATTGATTATACTTTAATTTTTAATGTAAAATATTTTTAATCAAATTATATAGATTAAGGTGAGAACTAGGAAGTTAAAATCGGTTAACAAACTCGTCTGTCTAATCACCATCAACATGTCACCATAGACACCATTTATCTTTCTTGTTATTTAGTCACATATATTAGCCAAATCTTTAGCAATTTTCAGCCTTAAGTGATTTATCTTCATTTTCTCAAATTGTAAGGATTAAGGGATATAACTGAGCAAAAAACATAAGGAGCAACGTAAAAAGAACAAAAGTAAAAGGATTGGTTTCATAATTTGGTGAAAATATGATGACTGAAGATTAAGTTTTGGGAGATTATCAGTAAAGGACCTAAAGCAATTTAATTTCATAAAAAGCTAACAAGTAAACATTAACAGTTAACAAGTAAAGTTCTTGCTCTGACAAATATACTATTCATCCAAATCCTTAATAATATTAAATTAGGGTCCTGTATTATTATTCTTCCTTTAATTTTTTCTAATATTTTTTAATTGCAAATAATGGAGCAATATGTTCGTAATGGGAAAAAAATGTGTGTTCATTTTTTTCATATATTAAAATTGTAAACATGGATGTGTATATAAATAAACTAGATGTGAAATAAAAGCCTATTATTTTGTTCACTATGATTTTCTATTCATGATACTTAAATTTGAAATCTTGTTCAAGACAATTCACATTTATTACATCTTATTATTAATAGAACTGAAAAATTGGGCTAGTTTGTTTAAATTCACTTATGCTTTAAGACTCTCATATACTAAACTCAAGTCTCAGTACAGCGGGTTCAAGTTCGAGCTAGTCCACGGGCTTCAAATTCCCTTTTATCTTTTTTTTTTTTTATTTTTTATCAAATTGAAAATACTTCAACAAGCTTGAAAAGCTTAATTTATAATTTTTTATATAAAAATTTAAAAATATATGCAAATCCCATTCAGATTAACCCATTTAAACTTCCTTAAAATGGAGAGACTATTAGAGCTAGCTCATTTAAGTTTGCTTTGTAATTTCATAATCTTATATGTAAGCATAGCCCTCTTGTTAAATGGACTTAAATGGGTAAGCCTATTGGACTTAGCTTGCTTTTCCTCTCTAATTATTAAGTTAAAATCCTCAGATTTTACATAATATATGAAATTTATGTATAGTTTTAATAAAATAATTAATAAAATAATAATTAATATACTTTTAATACATAAATCAGGTCAACTTCATATCAAGCTGCACTATATATATAATAAATTATATAATTAATGTGATGAGACTCAATTTAGTATAAAATAATCATGATCATTCTCTGGAAAACTATATATTTATAATACGTCTCATGCTTGAAATGTCATACAGCATACAAGGGCATGCGAAAATCTGCGTTGGAATCCATGGGCGATTTTGCAAATATAGGAAACCATCGGGGCTTTGTGTCATTATCAGAAATACACAATTGGTGCTTCTCCCAGCCACACGGGCTCAAATCTTCCGAATCCAACAAACAATACCGAACATGGCTCTACAAATCCACTTCTTCTCCTCCTTCACCAACAGAACATGTCATCTTCATCACACGCATCTTTTCTTCTCTCCCTCGCAATCCTCCTTCAGTGTCCGATCCCAAAAGCCCTCTGAATCCTCAAATCCCACAACCAATTTCGACGATTCTGACTCAGTTTCGACTACTCCTCAGAAATCTAGCTCACCTGGGGTTGGATTCGTGTCGTCGTTATCGTCGAATTTGAGTAAGAACAATGCGAGTGTGTCGACTAGTAAAAAGAAGCAGAAGGGTAAAACAGAGAGGGCTTCCATAATTCGGCGTTCCCCTGTTGAGAAACCAGCTTTTGTTTCGGAAATAGATGAGGCCAAAGCGAAAGAGCTGCGCAAGAATGAAAGCGCTTTTCTTCTTGCGTGGTTGGGTTTCGGCGCTGTCATTCTTGTCGAGGGCCTTTTTATTGCGGCATCAGGTAATGTGCAGTGAATTTGTTATTTCTGGAATTCTCTGAGTACTCACTAATATTTTTTTTTTGGGACGAAAGTTGAAAATATATATATATATATATATATAACTGTTTAGGAGCTCCTGTTCTCTTTTATGGGTAGGATTTTGATCGTAACTTTTAGCTGGCTAAGTAATATGGACTTGTGATATTCGAGTCTGCCTTCATTTTGTGAGTAATTATGAATTTTGGGTTTCGGCAAACAGAAATTTTTCTCTCCAGTGGATTGGATTTTTACTGTTTGTTGGAAGTCATACCCTTGGGATATCTATGTATTAAATTTACAGAAGTGGGAAGTTTTTTTTTGGATATAAGTCAATTTGATAAGGCTGAATTTATGTTAATATCTTGATCTTTCTATGATGAATGGTCAGAATTGCTTGTTCGGCAACCTGTTTTAGGAACAGTTTTTTTGTTTTTCAGAACAATAAAAAAAAATCAATTGGGTAACATATTTTCAAAAAGTGTTTTGAGAAACAAGAAAATCAAATATTATTCTGAAGAATAGAAAACGAAAATATCTTTGTTTTGAGATTATTGTTCTAGAAAATAAGGGAGAATGTGAAAAACATGTGTTCTCATTTTTTTTTTCAGAACATGTTATACAAAACACTAGTTTTCAAAGTAATATAATAAAAAACAGTTTCAAACAAGCCTGGCATCTTCATACTAGTCCTTACTTTGTGTCTTCTGAAGTTGCATGATAAGAGCACTTTCAGGCTTAGTGGTTGTCTTATGAGTATAATCTATGAAGTCAAGTACAGACACTTTAAAAGGAACCATTTCTCTGTTACTTTGTCTATAATGGAAGAGCAGTGTCATTTTTCCTTCTCTTTTGTGATGTTATTCAATTTTTATGTGCAGGCTTCCTACCTGAAGAGTTGGACAAATTTTGTGTGAACTATCTTTACCCTTCTTTTACCCCAACAGTCTTCGTGTTTGTTGCTGGAACAGTTGTATATGGAGTGTATAAATACCTGCAGAATGAGAATATCAAAGGTCAGGAATAGTGTGACAAGTATAAAATTAGAAACTTAAAAGCCCAACTAGGTAGAGTAACTGCAATTACATTCCTTGAGTTGTAGTTTGTGTCTATGCCCTTTCTTATCGATATAAAATATGTCAAAGATAAAAGATGATTTTGGGTGCTTAGCTATTCAATGAGAATCACTTTTTAGTGGATCCCATCATGCATGATTTGAGAATTTTGGGAGGGTTTCCCCCCTATATTGTATCTAATTAATGATACTCACATTTTATTGCTTCTTGTTGCTAATTGAATATTCCTGGGGATGTTGTTTGCCAAAAACCCTAAAACAGGCTTGCTTCCCCACCTCTTTCCTTTACTTATTGTGGTTCCTCATTAAACTGTCAAAATATTGGTCTTTTGTAGAATGTAATAATCTTTTGTCATAGAGACAGGACTGGTGCCTTCTCTTTGCAGTTCTACCTCTGGACATCCCTTTGTTTATTTCATCCTAACAGAAATGTGATAATTTTCCACCTCCCTTTGACTTTGAGCTTTGCTCTTCATATCACTGGCAAGTTAATAATGGTCTTTATGGGGAAATTATTTCACAAACATTTCTTTGTTCCTCTGTATTAGTGTCTACACTTTTGGTTGGTTGCACATTTTATGATTCTTATTGAACAAATGGTGAAGAACCAATTAAAATGATTAGATACTTTTTTTCTGCACGTTCAAAATTTTGGTGGTTACTGCTCTATTAATTCCTGAGCCTGGGTTTTGTGTATCTAAACTAAATACATGCATCATCCCAAAATGGCAGAGGCAACATGACCCAGCATGGAGGGAGGTAATCATTTGGCTTGTAAACAGAAAAAAATTATGGAATTTCTTTTATATCTTATTTAAGAAATTATACTTTCACTAAATGTTCAATCTCCACTGTTGGCCCAAAAATGTTCAAATGCCACAGTTGGCGAAAAAGAAAAAGATAAACATATTAGATAGTGAAAAGAGCCAGAGAGAACTATAATGGCATGTTGCTTGAGACAGTAAAATGACAGATAAAATATAGAAGATATGCACAGAAGTCTTTATAGTTGTCTGAGCATTTTGATGCTATTTTCAGTTTTGTATACATGCTTTTTTGGAAAGAGCAAGATATAAGATTGTAGCAAAATGATAGATTATATACATAATATATACATGAGAACTTATTAAATTCAAATTAATATGTCAAATAATTTAAAAAGCAGTATATAAATCAATTGCATACATGCATGTAAAGTTTTAGGGGAGTATGGTGAACAGGTATTAACATATTATCCCAAGTGACACTAACAACACCCAACTCTCTTGCCTTTTGGCCAGGCCCTTGTATTCTTTTATCTGGATTCCCCTCTTATAGGCCTTGGACTCTCTAGCCCAAAACTTATGGGTCCATCGGTGTAAAATTTTAAAGGAAGAAGGCATGACATCAATAATTTAATATTACCAAAATATTAGTTTCTAAAAGAGCAGTGCAGCTACCCGTACATAGTTCTATTGGTGATCGTCCCTGTAAGATTTTCATTTCTTTTTATCATCAAAATAACCATGATGGTAATCCATGGTTTAATTATATAATTCTATCGTCATGTAGATCTTTTGTCTCTATTTACTTAGCTGCATCACAAAGGAAGCTTCATGTCAATTGTGCTGCTAAAAACAGTTCCCATTGTTTCCTTGCTTAATAGACATTGCTAATTGAGCAACTGGAACTGGGCTGTGTCAAATGCACCATGGGATATGGCTGCAAAGCATGAAATTCCATGTCTCTTAAAATATGTTGTTATAGGCTTCTAGCGGTAATATTAGCTGAATTGCACTTGTGAAGAAATTATTAAAATTGCAGAATAAACTGTCAGCAAAAGTTTATTTTGTTTATCTATACCGTCTTAGTATATCTATTCAGCAATTTTATCCGCCAAAATGAGGGGACTTGTTCTCTTCAAATCCTATTGGTCCCTTCCTCCAACCAAAAAAACGTCTTTGAATTTTGTTCCATGTTATGGTTGCATATATCTTTATTCTTAATATGAAATTTGTTGCATTTATTGTTGAGAGGATATTGTGGTCACTTTGAACATACCCATAGACTAAACATTGACTGAATTCAACAGAACTGCTATCTTCTTATCCTTTGGAAGTACCTTTACCTATCTTTGACCATGAAAGTCTTTATTTTGGCCGCTGGAAATGTGAAGGTACATGCAAATGTGACCAGCAACAGTGTAATAAGTACTATTATTTAGGCTGTGATTTAGGTCATTTACTGTATTGGAAAGAAACTTAATACTTCATAAATGAGTAAGTGTCTTCTGTAATTCGGCTAGATTCTCTGTTAGTGGGTCCTTTGGGCTTAGCCAAAAGGCTTTTGTGGACAAGTTATGAAAATTTTTGAAGTGCTACATTCTATCAACTACAGTTAACCTTAGTTTTGATTTCAGATCCAGAGATAATTATCCGCTTCACATACCTGAATAGCCTTGTTTGAATTCCTGATCATTTATTGTAGTTATGATCTCAACTCTCAAGCCTCAACCATGTGGTTTACTATAGAATATCTTGTTTGCAAATCATAGATAATTAGATTAATTTGTCTTGGTGCATGATTGGAAAAATATTGGAACAAGTTTTGGTTACTTCTGCCAAAATGTGATTTTGGCTTCTTCCAACTTTTTCCAAACATGAGCTCAACCTGTGTCTAAAATGTTAGGCTATTGGATTTCTAGTTTTGAACTCTGCATCTTTTATTCTGTATCATGCGCATCATGTTGTTATTTGCCTTATTGGTCTTTGCACAGGGTGAAGTGTAATTAAATGAACGCTTGATCTTATCTCTTCCATGGCATTCATAATTTCTTGTTCTTTCGTCTAAAAAGCATGGACATTGAGTCAAACATGGTTCACAAGGAGGACACTTGCACTGCAAAAATCTGAAGCGTCCCAGTACATTTTTTTTTTTTCTATAGCTGTGTTTTGTTTGACACCAAGAAGACCAGTTTCTGGTGTGTCTATATTCCAGAAAATGGTTTTATTTATTTATTTATTTTGTACAAAAGTGGTTTTATTATATGCTAGTGTAATGGCTATCCTCACATGAAATGGCTATTTGCATCATTGGTCACCATTATAATTTCCCTAATATCTAGATCTAAATACTCACTTTGCTACTTTTTATAAGGCATTGATGTGCATTAAAAAAAAATTATCATGTTACTTTATTGGGTACAAGAGCAAATTCATCCATAAACTATAAGTCAGGAGTATCTGAAATTTTAAACTTATTTTTTATATAATTTTTTTAACTTTTGAAAATAGTGCAATTTGATCCTGAATATTAACAAAAGTTAATTTTAACTATTATTTAACTAAAAAATAATAGGAAAATGACCTTAAAAATTATAATAAATGATCCAAAAATTATAGAACAAGCCATAGAAAATTTTAGTGGTTATTTTTTTTGTCATTTTCAAATTAATTAATGATTAAAGTTAATTTTTATCAATGTTAGAAATTAAATTATACTGTTTTTAAAAGTTAAAAAGAATCATTACACTAAAAATAAATTTAAAATCTCAGATACTTTTGGACTTTTAGTTTAGAGGTTATCCTATTTTATTTGTTAAAAAACAATCCAACTTTTCAAATGTATTCTTATTAATTAAAGGAAAACAATAAGTGATCTTATTATTTATGCAAATGTTTTCTCAAATTAAAGGGTAAAATTGAAAAAATTATTTCAAATTTTTGTTTGATAACTTATGGTAAGGATTTTTTTTTTTAACTTCTGTAAAACACTTGCAAAAATAAGACTAGAGTAATACATCATAAACCCAGAGGAAATTATTACTGTTCTGGGGGGCATTTTTTTTTAAGATAAAAAATTCAAACTAGTTGATATTTTGAAGTTACATTGAGATATAATATAACTCACTCGAGTTGGGTTGGATGGAATCATAAGGACGTTAAATATCTTCCAACTAGTTTTTAAATGTAATTTGTGTTATACCAAGGGTTCAAATTCAACATTATCGGTTAAAGTGAAATTAGCACAATTCTCTAATAATTGAGCCATGTGCTTATTGGTTGAATGTGTTACTTATTTTTTACATGCTTAGATCCAAAATGGGAAAAAAATTCAAATATTGGCATTGCCTTTTGGAGGTATAATGTTTTAAGAACCATGATGTTGCTCCTTTTAGAGCAGCAAAGAATCTTGGATTGCGGGAAATGTACAGATTACAGTCAAAATTTTCTTAGCATTTGACTCAATTTTTAAGTTTTTGACTAATTGATTGATTGTTAGCGTCAATCTTGTGATTTGTGAAGATGCATGCATTGCATGAATAGGACACACCGAACATATTTAAAAAAAAATTAAAGAAAAAAACTAATATACCCAACTTTATTTATTTAATATGTTTATTTTAATTAAATTAAGATATGTATATTTTTATAAATTATTTACTTTATAAAAAATTATAGGTATTATTATTATTAATATATTAAAATTTACAAGTCCTAATTAAATTAGATAAAAATATATTAAATATATGAGATTAAGTATGTGTGTTTTGCAGAGAATTAAAGTAATTAGTACTTATTGATGTAAATTAATTCATTTGTCAATATTTATTTATTAAAATAATTTTTTTAAAAAAATAATCATTTGGTCTCTATAATTTTGACTCATTTATAACATAATATCTAAATTTTGACTCATTATAACTCCATATTTATAATCTTAAATCAATTATAAATCAGATTTTGAACTTTGCCTCTTACAACTCAATTTTTATAGTTTGAATAACTTAAATATTGATCCCTATATTTTAAAAGATAAAATTATAAAGATTAAAAATATTTTAAAATTTTAATATTTATAATATTTACAAAGATTAAAAGGGTTTACTAATTTAAAATGTTAGTCATAAACTGTAACATAATTTTAATCTTCACAATTTTATTTTTTAAGATTTAGAGATTAATATTTAAATGATTACCAATATAAGGATTAAATTACAAAAGTCAAAATTTAAGAATTGAATTATAACGAGTTAAAATTAAAAGATTGAATTGTAACTAAATTAAAATTATAATAATTAAATGATTAATTTTTTATTTGCAAAATATATGAATGAATATTGAATTTTTTGGGTTGTGTTTTTGCACAAAACAAAAACATTGAATATTTCCATGCGATACATGGATATATTTTTAATTCCCGGACAGTGGTAATCAATAATCATTGTTATAAAACAAATACAGGAGGTTGTATTATTTATGAATTATAAGCATCTTAGATGGTTCCATCTAATTAAAATTAAGCTGGAATGAAACTTTGGACCAAAAATGAAAAGTAATGATACTTTAGATCTCTAAA